GACTCCTCAGTAGTGCGCATCTACGATCCCGCTCCCTCCCTCGCAATTGAAATTTCTAAAAATCTCCACAAAACCCATTCTGATAATTTATAATATTCATTACAAATGAATCCGGTTACTATTCAGTTACAATAATCATATTTGATAGATCATAATCATAGTGAACTTAACTGTTTGAATCATAACACCGTTTAGTTCAGATGTAGTTGTATAACTTAAATAATTCAACTTAAAAAGATTAGCAGATTAGGAGTTGTGGAGATTGTTAAGTTTATGATTGAGATCATGAACTGATTGATGTTAGACCACCATTGAAAACCTGGAAGCAATGGACGGCCGTTTCGTCCTATTGTGGGACTCCTCAGCAGTGCGCATCCACGATCCGGCTCGCGGGTTTCGAATACAGGGCCTTCGGTCTCACACGCGGACGCCTCATTTCTAAACCACTGAGCCTGCCAGCATCTAACACTGTTAATGTCTAACCTCAACCAATCCACGAAATTGCGCGACCATCTTCCATTGTATTGAGATAGACACCTGTTTCTACCCAACACGGATTAGTTCCACTGCTCACGGATTCTCACTAGAACTCCGAGAATTTTCTCACGAAACTAGTCACTAGTGAGCACATGGTAATTATCAATATATGGTTGTGGAGATTGTTAAGTTTTTGATTGAGATAGACGAAACGGACATCCAGTGCTTCCAGGTTTTCAATTGTGGTCTAACATTAATCGGTTCATGATCTGAATTAAAAGGATTAATTTTAGTAGTTGAGATCATGAGTCAATTGAAGCTAGATTATTACGAAAAATTTGGAAACACTGGACAGCCATTTTGTCTTATTGTGAGGCTGCTCATCAGTCCGCATCTATGATCCCAGCTGATGAGATTTGAACCTAGGTTTTCCATGGTGATCTAACTTCAACTGATTCATGATCTCAACTTTTAAAATTACTATAATATCCACAAAACCCCTTTTCTAATATTAAAAGGATTATTTATAATTTTTGATGAGTTTTGAATATTGATGCTATGGGTTTTCTGAAGTTTTAAAAGGTATAAGAAAAATATCTTTTTTAGCATTTATGTTTTTAAACTTTAAATTAATGCCTATATAGTAAGTGTACTGGTTACGGTCTCTATAGTGTATATATGCAGTACATACAATAGGCTTTGATTAAGACTTGTACTTTAAGTGTATTATTGGAACTGAAATATTTCTAGCAATGTCAGATTACTCATTTTTGCACACAATTTGGTAACAATAGACAGTGAAGAAGATTTGTAGCTCAGGTGGATGAGTTTTATCGATGGACAATCGAACCATCCAGCTCAGAGTGCAACAATAGATTCATATACCCTCTTCAAACATATCTATAACAATTTCGATGTACATTTCTGGTTGTACCTCTTTGGACTAGAGTTCTTTATGAAACTTTGAAATTATTTCTGTTTTAATCAGTGAGATTTTGGGGAATTTCGGCTTGAAATACGGTGTATACCTGTCATTACTTACTGGTTAGCGTTTTTTTTAGTGAGCTAGTTTTTTATGGGATGGGGTCGCTAATCTCATCCTCAAACCTTCTCCTTTATCTGAGCTTGGGACCGGCAATGGCCGAAGAGGGACTCCAGATAGAGCTACCTATCATATCCCCATTTTTTCCCGCTCAATATGAAGAATATATTTCAACTGTTGTATGAATTCTCATAGTATTACAATGAGTTTACGTTTATTAGTATTTATTTTTGAAAATTTAGCTCTCGTACTCTTTGTGATCACAGTTCATCTCACCTTCACTCTTTCATCTTTCTACGATATTTATCCTTCATTTCACGATCATCAGTCGTTATCGATTTTTCTGAAATACACAGTCGAGATCATAAAAACTACCATTTGAGTTTCTTAATAAGAACAACATTTTTGTGTATGTATTTAGTCTACCAGTTACTATGTTGAACAAATCTGTTATTATTTATCTTCATAGTTTAAATCACAAACTAATCTTATCTAGTCCAGCACTGAAATCCTGGTACCACTGTACGATCGTTTCACACAATACTTTCCATCAGTGCTCATTCACAACTTGAAGATCAGTAACGGCACCCAAGACGTTCGGTCTCCTGACAAAAGCTTATTTTTTATTTATTTATTTTAACACATAGATATTAATACAAGAAGGCACCAAATACATATGCGCCACACAAATCTCATTTGATATGTGTGCGGGCTGTGATACTGCCCAGGTGCCCAAACCGAAGCAGGTGGTTTTCGTATGGGGCCACATCCGGAGCCTTCGACCTGAAGGTCTGATCCATAAGGCAGTGGAGCGTCGTAAGGAGATGCAGTCCCATGGTGATCAGTGATCAACGATTGATTCATAAGTCATTTGTTCCCTCAGGATACTGGAATCCATGTGCACCATTGGTTTGGAATCCGGTTAAAGCGTCGGATAATCGCTTTTCATCCTCTCATTTTTGTAAATAACACCGCCGTCACGAGAATACAGTGAGTAGGACTTCCCTGACAGAGGCTATATACGCGTGGCCATGTGAGAGCATTTGGAGAGGGAGAGCGGACTCTCCCCACTCTCGGCCGTACCAGAACATTTGGGGGCTTAACCTTAACAAAAGCCTAACCTGCAGATTACTGAGCCAACACCCAATGGTGTGAAAGTTTAACTTAAATTAATTCACGATGCTTTACAATCCTTATTCTTTGCTTGAAATGGAAAACAGTCTTACATTCAACAAGACTGAGCTCCGCTGGTCACATCTCACTACATCTCCCGGGGTTGTATAATCAGTGGTAGTCTAGATAAGATTAATTCATGATATAATTTGTGAGCATTCTACAATCTCCCTAAATCTCATTATACTAGTATATTTATTTTTGTTATTATTGTTATGATTATGATTTCGGGAAAACAACTATATATTTTTGTGGATATTATAGTATTTTAATAATTGAATTCATGAGTTAATTGAAGCTAGATCACCATGGAAAACTTGGAGGCATTAGACGGCCGTTTCATTCTAGTGTGGGACTCCTAAGCAGTGCGCATCCGCGATTCCGCCTCGCGAGATTCGGACCCGGGACCTATTGGTCTCGCGAGTAAACGCCTGACCTCAAGACTAATGAACATACCGTCATTCAACGGTAATCGAGAAACAGGTTAAACAGTGTACATTTTTTCATTTTTTTTCCATTCTAATCCCTAACAGTGAATAACTACTGTCTTATTACAAACAAAAAAGGGGATTAAATCTTGTTTAATCAGATAAGCTAAAAATAGAAACAAAAAGATAACTGTCTTGTTCAATTTAATAGTCTAAATAAATGAGAAAACCTTCAAAAAGACAAAAAAAAAAGAAAAATCGATAGAGACAACAGTTGTCTAAGACTTTCTAGGACTTCAACAGTTCAATGATAGAAATCCTCTATTAAGTTAAAGTTATTCTAACCTACACAAACTATTAGATGTTTGTTTTAATAGTCAGAAATTCTAGTAAAAAAGCTTTGTCAATGATCAATTATTCAAATGAATTATTCTATTGGATACCATACAAAACAATCAAATATAATTAAAATAAACCTGACTTGAAATAACCATTCTGATATGAGGTTCCTCAGAAGCGTGGTGCCTTTTGTTTTGCGTCGTTTTGATTGGACGATGTTTGTTGACGGGCTCATCACTTTAGTGGCCCGGGATCTGACTCCAATTAGATCGTATGAATGAGTGTTATTGAAATATATATGTCGCCTATCCTCGTATATAATCATCGACTTAAATCGCATTAATCAATAACTAGAATTATGTAAAGAATATGAAACTCAATATTTTATAATATGATATCTTTGGATGTATATTCAACTGAGAATTGATGGCGGTTACACAATAATCTTTGCACTGACCGATATCATTTATTGAATTTCGCCTTAGCCGTAATATAAACGGCTTCATAGGCTTTGTTTATTGTTTCATTTGTTCTTTTATTCATGTTGACTGTGTCATTTTCTTGACTTCTGATCATATCATTAGCTTAATTTTATAAATACTTCAATCAAGTTTATAAACATTTATTTGTTTATTTGAAAACATAAACGTTGGAACAAGGGGGCATCAAACACAAATGAGTCACACAATAACAATGAGGCCAGTAGTAGTTATCACTGATTTGTGTGAGAGCTATCTTGCTACTAGGGTGACCAAACCGAACCAGGTTGTTTTATTTGGTTAGGAGATTACACAGCAACTCTTTCACCTAAAGATCTAATTCGCAAGGAAATGAAACAATGTAAAATTCCGAACTCATGGTAGCTGGTAGCCAACAATAAGTTCCCTCAACATCATGGGTCGCATGTTGATCATTGGTTTGGAATCAGGGTTTTTCAACTCGCTTAGATAATTATTCTATATCCACCAACCCAATTAGGGCATCGAATATTCGCTTTTCATCTTATTAGTTTCGTAAATAACATTCCCATTGCGAGGATGTAGTGAGTAGGACTTCCCTATCGGTGGTTATATACGCGTGACCATGTGAGAGCATTTCGAGAGGGGGAGCTGACTCTCCTCACCTTCGACCGTACCAGGGCATTTCGGGGCATATAACCACCATCTATAAAGTTTGAGCGACTCTACGGTGACCTTGAGAGTGTTTACCTAATGAGTAGGACCAAATCTGGGTTATAAACCAGTGTGGCGAATTAGAATTACGATTAACAGTTGATGGTTGAAGTTAGAAACTAGATTTAGGGTTTGTATCACGAACTGGCACCAGCTATGATACGAAAACGTTATTTAGCCAAATGTATAAGTGAATTTCGCGCCAAAATCCAACACCTGTTATCTTACGCCTGATTGATTCGTCCATACATTATAATCTCTCCGCTTTACAATAAATACTGTATTCTCAAAACTATGTACGTGTTCTTAATTAAAAAAACACTTGCTCATCTCAGATACAATACAATTTTTGTGTTTATTTAACTTTAGGTGGAAACATGTGAATTAATGATGGACAAAGCAACAAGTCGTCATCGAGGTTAGTTTTGTTGTAATTAATGGTATGAGTCGATTTTTTTTTCAATATTGTCAAAATACTCAAGAAAATTCATTTATGACTGGATACCTATCCCGAACTAATATGGAACTTATCCGTAATGAACAGCTACATCCCAGGAGACGATGATAGAATCAGAGACTATAATGCTTAGATCGTAACTTTTGGTAATCTAATAATGAAGTTTAATTATCAGTATGAAGGTTATGGAGATTGTTAAGTTATTTGATTGAGAACATGAACCAATTGATGTTACACCACCGTTGGAAACCTGGAAGCACTGGTATGGGACTCAGCAGTACGCATCCCCGATCCCGCTCACCGCGAGATTCGAACCCGGGACCTATCGGTCTCGCGCGAGGCGCTCAACCAACTAGACCACTGAGCCGGCATCCAATAGTGTTAGTGTCTAACATTCCAAGTAGTGGTATGGCTAAAAAGAGATGTGAATAGGCATACTCTACATTTCTATCTCATTTAAATTCAGCTATATATAGGTAGCTCTATGTGTTTGTCAATGTTATTCTAATTCTAAATACTCATTATACTACTGAATTATACTTAAACGATTAATCATAAACCGAAAGAAAGAAAGAAGAAAACTAATGAAAAGAAATACAAAAAAGAAAAGCAAAAAAGGAGGTCAGTTGAAACCAAAGGGTCACAAATTATTATTAACAAACAAAAAGAACAACTAACTATCAGGCACAAAGACAACTAGCAATGATAAGATATATTATATTGGATAGAATTCCACATAGATCAAAGCTATGTAAAATACAACTTGATAACTTATTAATTATGCGTTTTTGTTTCTTTTTTTTTGCTTTTTAAAACTAAAAATGGGCGGTAATTAGGGTACAACAACAAAAAAAAACGACGACAAGTAAGGAAAAATGTAATCACGACAATTGTATGTGACTGATTGAAGGAAGTGAACTTTTGACCTATAACCTGAAGGTAGAATATTTTCTATTAACTTATATTGAACAGTTGGATAGATAGATAGTTGAGAGTAGTCAGTATTGCTTTAAACAGTTTGAAGATAATACGTAGGTTGTTAAGGCGACCTCCCCCACACCGAAAAATGGGCATGAATACATAAAGATTTTGTTCTTATTCAAGCAGAAATATGAACAGTAAACAGTTTAAGGTAATCAAGATTGGCCGCTAATCTAGAATATTTTAAGCGATTTAAAATGCTAACAGGATGGTGGCTAGAATTGCGTTTCTTCCTATTTAGGACTCGTTGGCTAGATGTAAATATATGTGTTGATGTTTACTCCCAGACTCGAGCTCAGTACCATTCACTGTAAACCTTATCGTGTAATCCACTTGGCTACAATAGGAAAATGAATTGAAACTTTACTCCATTGCACAAGCTAATGGCTATTTGAATTCAGTAGTTAAGTAGATAATGTGATGATGTTTACAGTGAACGGTACTAGATTTGTGTTTCGAAATGAATAACAACTCTGAGATGCAAGTACATCCTAGTGACAAGTCGCAAACAGGATATAACACTCGTCTTATGTTCTACTATTAGTCGCCATCTATCTCTGCTTAAGTTCAAAAAAACTAATGAAAATTAACACACAAATGGATTCTTATTGAAATTGAATTCAAAAAATAAACGGTGTTATGTAAGTAGCGACAAGTTACCTGTTCACAACCTTTCTAAAGGATTTCACTATGACTATCTAGATCAGACTTAGTGATTATTTTACCCGTCTTATAAAACTGTAGCTGGTATATTCTAGTAAATGTACTCCAACTTGAGTTTCGATACCCGAATATTATCACTAGTGCTTACACAAACGACAACAATCAAAATTGATTTACACAAAACCTGTATTCAATAAACTACTTATATTAATTTTGATGAAAGTAATGCAATAACCAAATATAATCACTATCTATAAGTTTCAAATACAATCATATTTTTATCCAGAACCGTTGTTGCTAACTAGTTTTTAATAACAATTATTGTCAATATGTAATGTCACATCCGTCAAGAGGTTATTCAACTTGAAGTTGACATACAGGAAAATTAGGTAAAACAGGAAAAGCTGTTACATTATAGTATGTGAAACAGCATAATACAGTCATGAACCCACTAGGTATGTGATCCGAAAACACTTAAGCTTCTACTGGAGCACTCAATTCTACGGTCATTGTTTTGACTTGCACTAGTTCATATATTTCAACTGCATGTAATTACCCACATTGGTACCAGTATCACACCTTACATGACTGAACTCCATTGATTATGGCTTATCAGTAAAATTTTAGGAATTCTTTTTTCCACATGAGTTCTAACAGTTACATGAAATTCACTTGGTATTATTTACTTGAATATTCCGATTGATGTTTAGGACTGCAATTGATTAGTCTCTTAGTGGTATATGTGTCTACTGTGAGTATTGCCTCGATATAACCTTAATTCATAAGCATTTTAAGTAACGATGGATAGTGGTTAGCAGTGGAATCCAGGAGGCGCGTTTCGTCCTAATTGGGCTATCAGGACTTAGTAGTTAAGTGGATAACGTGATGGAGTTTGAAGCGACCGTTACTGAGTTCGAGTCCTAGAGTGAACATGATCTCTGAGGTGAAGGTAGATCTTACTGACGAGAACCAAATAGGACGAAATACGCTTCCTGGATTTCACTGATAACCACTATCCATGTTTGGTTACGATTACATGAAATGTTTGGTGAAGATAGTCATTCATCAGCTCATACAAAATCGAGCAAAAATATATATCAAACAGGCATCACTTAAACAGCTTGAGGTTTATACTTATAAACGTTTATGTAATTGTAGACAAACAAAAAAACGTACTCATGAATCTTTAATACTATTCTTGTTTATCTCAATTTCATGATCCAAATCTGTTTACTTTGTCCATAGTAACAATGGCTAATCTTTTGTTCAGTTTTAACTGTAATACATTCATTATTCTGATTAGAATTATACCTATTATATAGGATGAGATAAAAAGGTTAAACAACCTAAAAAATGATACAAAACCGGAAGTATATACAATTCAATATTGATTAATCTAACACTGAAATGTGTTCTCTCACTTTCTCTCTCTTTCTATGTAGTTACACTAACACTTTTGTACATTATTCGGCTAATTTTGCTTTGCCAAACTGTGTATCATATAAAATTGTCTACTATGTTTCAAAAGCTCTTTATAGAACCTAAGAAATTGCCTCCGAATGCCTTAGTACGGCCGAGAGTGAGGAGAGTCAGCTCTCCCTTTCTCGAAATGCTCTCACATAGTCACGTGTATATAACCACTGATAGGGAAGTCCTATTCACTACATTCTCGCAATGGGAATGTTATTTACGAAACTAAGAGGATGAAAAGCGAATATCCGGTGTTTTAATTGGGTTTGTGGACATCCAGGATTCATCTAAGGGAGTTGGAATACCCTGATTCCAAACCAATGATCACCATGTGCTCCATGATGTTGAGGGAATATATAGTTTATGAACCTATTGTTGGCTACCAGCTACCATGAGTCCAGAACTCTTTACATTGTTCCACTTCCTTGTGAATTAGACTTTTAGGTGAAAGAGTTGTGGTGTGATCTTCTAACCGAAGAAAACCATTTGGTTCCTTTCAGTCATCCAGGCAGTAGCACATCCCTTACACAAATCAGTGATTAATACTAACCTCATTGTTATTGTGTTTGGCGCCTCTTTGTATAAAGGTTTATGTGTTCAAATGAATGATCAATTCATATATACAATTGATGAATACTACTACTATTTATCATAAAATTTCATTATTTAATCAATTACAATAGTTTACAATTTTTCATTGTCTCTTTCAATCAGTCTACATTCAACTATGAAATACTCACTAGGTGGAGTTAGTTCGTTGTTTGTTTGTTTGTTTGAGTTATTTTAAGATTTAAGATTAGTGTTGATACATTTATGAAGTTGAAGTACAATTCACACGCACACGCACACGCACACGAACACGCAAACGAACACGCACGTACCCACTCGTACATACCCGCAGATAAACAACTCGAAATTCATCATCATTTAACTTGTGTCTATATATTTTGTTTCTAACGGGTTTACCTTGACCTCATATTTATTGCATAAATAAAAAAAATTTTTTTTGTGAAAAATATAAATCAGTTTATTTAAACAAACAAAAAACTAATTGAGATAGTGTTGAAGGTATTAATCAAATCACTTTAATGTACATTAAATTCTTATACAAATACTGGGTTATATGTATAGGATTGTGGAGATGTTATAACGCTCGTGTTTTACTTCGTCTAATGTTATGACGGTTAGGTTGCCAAGTGTACACATACGGGATGTTGATTTACCTTAGATGAATATGTACACTAGATTCCCCCCCCTCTCAGTGTTTATTCTACAGGACGTCAACACAACTCAGATCAAGAAAATGTGATTAGCCTGTCCACAACGTAAAGTTATTTCTACACCAAATACGCCCTCAAATGCCCTGGTATCGCCGAGAGTAGGGAGAGTCCTCTCTCCCTCTCCAAATGCTCTCACATGGCCAAGCGTATATAGCCTCTACTAGGGAAGTTCTACTCACTGCATTCTCGTGACGGCGGTGTTGTTTACGAAATTGAGAGAACGAAAAGCGAATATCCAGCGCTTCGACCGGGTTCGTGGACGTGGAGAGTACATCTAGGGGAGTTGGAAAACCCTGATTCCAAGCCCATAGTGCACATGGGCTCCAGTATCCTGAGGGGACAAATGACTTATGAATCAATCGTTGGTCATCGACTACCATGTGACTGCATCGCCTTATGATGCTCCACTGCCTTATGGATCAGACCTTCAGGTCGAAGGCTCCGGGTGTAGCCCCCTAAGAAAACCACCTGTTTCAGTTTGGGCACCTAGGCAGTATCACAGCCCGCACACATATCAAATGAGATTTGTGTGGTGCATATGTATTTGGTGCCTTCTTGTACTAATATCTATGTGTTAGAATAAAATAAATAAAACCAAATACCCGACACAATCCAACATCAATGAACAATCAATAATAAGTGAGTCATATTAATAGTAAGGATAAGGTAGTATACAACTCAGCTGACATTCGTCAGACTATCTACATGTCTAAGCTGACAACCAATCATTATCATTCACACCTACATATCAGGAGATTATTAGGTTTTTTTATTGTTGAGATCATGAACCGGTTGATGTTAGACAACCATTGAAAACCTAGAAGCAGTGAACGGTCGTTTCGTACTATTGTGGAACTAACACTAACACCGTTGGATGACCACTCAGTGGTCTAGAGGGTAAGCGTTTGCGCGCTAAACTGGTAGGTCCTGGATTCGAATCCCGTGATCGAAATCGTAGATGCGTACTGCTGAGGAGTCTCACGACAGGAAGAAACGGCCGTTCAGTGATTCCAAGTTTTCCAATGGTGGTCTAGCTTTAATCGATTCATGAATTCAACCCCTAAAATTACTAAAATTTCTATAAAAACTCCTTTCTGGTTAACTATGCGGATGTATTAATCATTGTAAAATACAACGTGATGAATAATCGTCCACTTTAGGAAATAATATTTGCACGAGTTGTTTGTTATTCGTGTTATTGTCTGTATGTATATACAATGCATGTATATGAAACTCTCAAGTAAATAGAAAATACACTCATTTCCGTGTTTTGAGGACCGGATGTTAACGACTGATGGTTTAACAGTTGTCAGTAGTATTGTAGTGAAAACGAATACAAGTGGGGTCAATCGATTGTATTTAAACACATCATTACATAATCACTTAGTAAAATCTGAGAATTATTCATTAAATACTTCATTAGCAAAATATCAATCAATTGTCTCAGACTTCATTGTTCCTTCATTTCCACACTAATCATTGTCTGTTCTCATTCAAGTTTGTTCGATCTTCTTAACCTTCCACTGCCAGACATTTCACTCTCAATTGATTATATATACTACTTATATTATCTGTCGACATCAGTAGTACAAACCACAGTATGACTCCTCTAATTTGTAGTCTATCTCTTGAGTTCTTATAATACTCGTGTTTCCATTATTTGTTTTGCTTTTTAGGAACTTAATCCTCTCACTGTGTTCGCTCTAAGTCTATCGATTTTGAGATGGTGGAGAAGTCTATCGATTAGAGGGAATTCATTTCTATCTTTGTTAAACCAGTCAGTACGTTTAGATATGCTTAAAAAGAATTGATATAAAACACAAGAAATAAAGGTATATCAGTATAAGTTGTGGAGATAGTCGAAATTTCATTAAAACCACAAATCAATTTAAGTTAGATAAACACTATAAATCTGGAAGCATTAGATAGCCATTTCAATGGTTGCCTAACTTAAATCAGTTTGTGATTTATTATTACTAATGGTTTTATTCAGCACACACCTTGATAACTACCTTCAGCACTCCCCGCAACACACCAAAGTCTTTTCTCAGGAGCCCGGGAAAGAAAAATGAGGAACAGTAAAGAGAGGCGGCCAAACCAAAACATGCCACAAGTCCATGAAGTCACTGACAAGTGGACTGAGACATGTTAGTAGGTGTAGACTACTTGGTTGGGGATCGAGAGATGATAGCAACCGATGGTTAGAGACCTGGATGACATGGCTCAAAATCGTTTGTAATGGCGCAAGTGCATCCCAAATTCTAATCTCCTGAACTCTTCATGTCCCTTATTTTCTTTTCAAATTTATTTCACTGAATTATACGCTTTAAATAACATCTCCAAACCCTAATCTTCCCGAACACTGCTTACACTCTTGCTACCTCTACCACTACGGGATTTGGATCGACAACTGCATCTCTGTGTTAATGTGGTGTGGCAACTCGAACTGATGTACGTACGTACAGAGTTCTACGTTGTTGCCGACTGATTGACTGATTGTAAAGAGGTATAATGTATCTACTCAGTTTAGTTAAATTTTTGAAAAAACACAACATATTTTCCAGTTTTCGGATAATTATCCATTGGATTTTTAATATTCAAGTTTATCTGATTGCAAAACTACAAAATTATCTGCATGTATTTTTAGTTATATACAAATAGATGTTAATCTAATTCTGTAAACTGGATCAAATATTTGCTGAAAAGTTTAATATTGACATCTTTAACTGCTAGAATTAACTATACTAGTTTTGGCAAGTGATAGAAAATCTTGATCAACCTTGATCAAAGATATCGTTACTCTCTCTTAATTCAGTGATACTATTCTGTCGTATGATAGTCCTTGGTCTTCCAATACCGATTTCAAGGGTATTATTTCAGAGCTTTTAAATAGTATAGAGTAAATTTTCATTGCAATGTATCCATCATTTGACATTAATGTTTCATTTTTAATAGTTGAAATCATGAGCCAATTGAAGCTAAACCACCATGAAAAAACCTGGAAACACTGGATGGTCGTTTCACCTTATTTTGGGACTCTTCAGCAGTTCTCATCCACGATTCATTAACACCACTGGATGCCGGCTCAGTAGTCTAATGGCTAAGCGCTGGCGAGTAAGACCCATAAGTCCTGGGTTCGAATCTCATGAGGCGGGGTCATGGATGCGCCCTTCTGAGTAGTCCCATACTAGGACGAAATGGCTGTTCAGTGCTTCCAGATTTTCTTTGGTGGTCTAGCTTCAATTGAGTCATGATCTCAATTATTAAAATTACTATAATATCTACAAAACCTCTTCTGATATAAATGTTTAATTCTAAACTTTTCTACAGACCACATAAATCAACAAAATATGATTTTATATTTAAGCTTATCTTTTGTTACATTTCAGCAATTATAAACATTCGTAACTGTTACTCAAGGTGTTCTTACGTCTGGGAACCTTGAGGTTTAGGTTCCGAACAATTGATTTTGACATAGAACTGGTGGATGAGTTAGGTCTCCGTCGACTGCTCAAATTAACTACTAAAGTTTACCCCAATACCCGGCATCTTCACGTAGAGGTTTTCATATTATGTAATCTCCCTCTAAAAAACAGAACTAAATAATTTACATATTGCAATCTAACAAGAGAGTTATCATCATAAAAGAAAATGTTGATCAATGATAATCCATTAAAATCCTTATGTAATCATATTAGACTTTTGTTTTGATTGAGATGATGAACCGATTGGTGTTAGACCACAATTGAAAACCTGGAAGCACTACATGGCCGTTTCGTCCTATTGTGGAACTCCTCAGTAGTGGGCATCCACGATCCTATTCGCGGTATTCGAACCCAGGTCCTTCAGTCTCGCCCACGAACGCCTAACCTACTGAACCACTGAGCCGGCATCCAATGGTGTTAATGTCTAACCTTAACTAATCCACCGAATCGCGCGACCATCTTCCATTGTACTGAGGTAGATACCTGTCTCTACCCGATGAAACGGCCGTCCAGTGTTTCCAGGTTTCTAACGATAATCTAACATCAATCGGTTCATGATCTCAACCAAAAACTTGATAATCTCTACAACCCCTATACTGTTAGATTTTTGTTATTTAGTAATTTAATGGAAGGTCATTTTTTCATTTTATTATTTTAAGGTTTTGGATTTGTTACATTTGAAAGTGAACAAGCAGCTGAAAAAGTTTGCTCAATTCATTATCATGAATTAAATGGGAAAATGGTAAGTATATAACTTCATAAGTTACATAATAATATACTTTTTATTATTAATGAACTTTAAACTATATGGAATAATACCATAATAAGTATCAAAAACTCGGTAGTAACAATGATGTTATAAATCCCTACCAAAGATGGATAGTGGTTAATAGTGGAATGCAAAATGCGAGTTTCATCCTATACGAGGTTCTTAAACTGGATGTACTTGAATGTGAGAGTTGATGTTCACTCTGGGACTCGAACCCAGTACTATTCGCTTCTAACGCCATCATGTTATCTACTTAGTTACTGAGTCCTGGTTAATTAATAAATTGTGCAATGGGATGAAGTTTAAATTAACTTGATGTGGTTTACTTGAATCTTCCGATTGATGTTCAGGACTGTAATTGATTAGTCTCTTATTGGTATATGTGTATACTGTGTGTATTGCTAATTAAGTTTATGTTCAATGTGAATAATGTTTCATTTCACTTAGCAACAATTGATGAGGTTAGTTACAAATTCACTAAAATTTTCAATTAATTTAATCTTTAAATTAAATAAACGACTTCCTCGTTTATTTTAATTCACATGTCAAATTGTCAGAATACTGTTGATTGATTGAATCTCAAAACAATTTAATACATTTACTGGTTTACCTGACTATTAATTTATGAAATTGAATTAACCTCCAGTTTTCACTTCACATACATTAGATTTTAGTGAAACATAAGGGGAAAAACATGGTTGAATTCATGAGTCAATAAAGGTCGATGACCATGAAAAATCTGAAAGCATTGGATGGCCGTTTCGTCTTAATATAGGACACCTCAGCAATGCACATCCACAGTTTCGCACGCGGAATTCCAACCCAGGATTTTTGATCGCATGCGCGAACGCTTGACCTTTAAACCACTGAGCTGGCCAACATACAACGGTGTTAATGATGTCTAACTTCAACCAGTACATGAAATTGCACCACTATCCGACTGATTATCATATTTGGATTTTATTTTTGGTCAAACTAATCAGGCAATATAGTAGTCGTAATCAATTAACATCCAGAAGTAGAAGTTTGATTGAGATTAGTGCATTAAAATAAATTCAGTTCATACATAAAAACCTTCAATTAGAACATTCATTCAATATATACATTAGATTGAATGTAAATCTCTTAAACAAACACTGTAAATAATCATATGATTGTACACATGATTAGGAATTATAAGGATGTTCTTAAGTTTTGTATACCTTTTGCTTTTTACCGAAATACCATAAATTTCATAACAGTAAAACTAGCTAATTTCAGTATATTTATCTTAGAGTTCTTCTGAACTAATTCGATTTCAACAAGACTTATTTATCTACATACTTATTTACGCCTGTTGCTACTCGTAGAGGAGCATAGGCCAGCCAATAGAACTCTTCATCCAACCATGTCCTAGGAAATCCTTTCTTGAGTGGTCACACACGTAGCCGTCAACCTGAATATCTGATCCACAAGGAAGTGGAGCAACGTCAAGGGACGTAGTCCCATGGTAGTCAGTGACCAATAACACGCTATTCGTTCCCTCAGGATCTTGGAGCCTGTGTGTACCATTGGTTCAGAATTAGGGTTTTTCAACTCCACTAATTTGATCCTTTATAACCACGCACCCGGTTAAAGTACCGGACATTTGGTTTTCGTCCCCTCAGTCTCGTAAAAAACATCCCAGTCGTAAGAAGGCAGTAAGTAGGACTTCCCTCTCAGTGGTTGTATGCGCTTGGCCATGCGAAATCATTTCTTCCCACCTTCGGCCATACCAGAGCATAAACTAAATCAATCTTTACGATCGCATCAATCATGCGATATCATTTTGTAGTTAAGTGAAAGTTTCATTATTGGCTAAATAATTACGTAATTCCTTAAATAAATCAATAACATTTCAAGTATTTTATTCAAACATTTGACATTTTTCAAGTGTAGTTTAATTGGTAACATTGAAATAGACTATAGATTTGTTTAGAATGGTATTGTTTACATGGATAGTTACATAATAGACATAAACTATATATATATATATGGATGACAAGCAATCTTTATCATTCTATCATTGATAAGTTGAATTTCTTATGTGCTTTGTTATGTTTAATAAAAACTCCAAATACAATTGTCAGTAGAGGTTCTGTTAAAGACAATGAAATCTCATTCAATGTAAATGTAATATAATTTAGAAATGATAGTTTGTTAACTAACGACTATTGAATTGAGTGAAGCAGTTCCCCATCAAAGACAATGGAAGATGGTTAGACAATATTATAAATTGGTTGAAGTTAGACTAACATAGCGGAGTGGCAGCTCAATAGTCCACAGATTAAGCGTTTGCGCGTGAGACCAAAGGTTCTGGGTTCGGATTCCGCTTGCGTAATCATGAGTGTGCACTACTAAAGAGTCTCATACTAGGACGAAACAACTATCCATTACTTTCATCATTTCAATCAAAACTCAACAATCTTCACAATCTTATAATAACAATACTTATTCTATATGAAATTAGTTCATCTACATTATATACATGGAATAGTTTAGCTTAAATTACATAGTTACAACAGAACTACATAAATCTAATTTTATCTTTTATTGTATTTACTTAGAAAGTTCAAAATTTGACGCCTTTTCCTAATCCTACAATAAACAGAAGGTTTTATCCCAGTTATTGTAACTAGGTGACATAAATTGTTAACAGTAAATCATTGTTTACTTAGATGACACTTAATTTGATTGACTTGTAAAGTGTTTATTTGTTTACTAAAGTGATTATACTCATGGAAATGGATTAACATAATTAAGCGAATCACTATTTAAAAACAATTGAAGTTAAACAATTATGGAAAACTTGGAAACACTGGACGGCTATTTTGTCCTAGTATGGGACTGTTCAGCAGTAGGCATCCACAATCCCGTCATGAGAGATTCTAATCCAGAACCTATCGATCTCATGAGTGAACGCTTAACCTTTAGACCACTGAGCTGGCCGTCATCCAACGGTAATAATGATATATAACTCCAACCAACCCACGAAATTGAGCGAGACATTCAACATTGTCTTCAGTGAGTTAGAACACTATGGAAAATCTATAAACACTGGATGACTATTTTGTCCTGGTATGGAACTGTTCAGCAGTAGGTATCCACGATCCCGCCTCACAAGATTTGAACCCAAGACTTTTGGTCTATATAATTATATTTCAACCGTTTGAGACTCTGAATCGACAATCATATAATCTCATATACAATAGGATACTTCTGTGCTATTAAATTAGAGTTTATAGTTTTATGGGTAAAAGAATGGGACTGTATAAATGACAATTGTCACAAGTTATTCCCATGCGACTGTTTCAAGATTCACTATCCTAGATTACTTAATAATAACTGCCACCTAAAATTAATTATTTAAAATAGTCAGTATAAAACCTGATCTCGATTTATTATTCTACATTGACTTAATTCAAACTTGAATTATAACCTCTGGTTACTAGTCAGTCAGTAACAATGTAGAACCTCGCACGAACGTACATCAGTTCGAGTTACCACAGCACATTAGCACAGAGATTCAGTTGTCGATTAAAATCCCCTAGTGGCAGATGGATATCTTGCCTACGCCATAAATGACGCAAGTTGGCAAAAACTAGTCGAGCCTTCTGTATCCGTGCTGAGATTTCGTCACACACCAGACCACGAGGGCTGATGCGACTTCCAAGATAAATGAAGTGATCGACCCGCTCAACTACTTCACTCCCTATCATTAGTTCGGGTGTCGATACATCCCAATCCTGAAGCAACATTTTGCATTTCAAGGGGGGAAATCGCGTCCCGAACATGCTTGCGTTGTTGCTTAGAGTGGTCAGAAGACTCTGCATTTTGTCAGCGTCTTCACCAAATAGAACTATGTCATCGGCATATTCCAAGTCAACAAGTGAATCGCCCAGTAGTTCAACGCCTAGTAATTTAGATGAGGAAAGTGTTATCTCTAAAAGCACGTCAACGACAAAGTTAAACAAGAATGGATAGAGTGAACAACTGTCGATATGATTCTTTCAGTAAACTGAAGTTGAACTTCGGCTTACCTTCTACAAAACCCTGATTGATAGTAACGGAGTTGAATATGAATTATCGTGGTTACATATGAGAAGTCATGAGTAGTGAAGATAATATATAGCAGTTATTAACTAATGTCATTAGACTGTCTCATGTTCTAATATGAACTATTGTTGATTAATCCATTGGGATAAATGTAATATATTTGCCACAAGACCTTTCAATCATTGCCAGATTTATGAATGTCTGTTGCTGAGGAGTCTCATGAAAAAATAAACACCAGTAAAGGGTTGTTGAGATTATGAAGTTCTTGATTGAGATCATAAGCCGATTGATATCACGTAATTTCTTCGATGTATTTCCTGAAGTTCTAGTGAGAAGCCGTAACTAATGGAGCTTCCTGTGAGGCAGTGACTCAGTAAAGACGATAGTGGGCGGTAGCGCAATTTTAGGGATTGATTGAAGTTAAACGTTAACACCGCCGGATACTGGCCGGATCAACGGTGTAGAGGTGAAGCGTTCGCACGCGAGATCGCAGGTCCTTGGTCTGAATTCCGTGTATGGTACCTTTGACGAGCAATATTGAGGAATCCCACACTAGAACGAAATCTCCATCCAGTTTTTCCAAGTTTTTTTATGGTGATCTGGCTTTAATCAACTCATGAATTGAACTATTCAATCACTACAATCTCCACAAAATCCCTGTCATAAACATTGGTTGATCAATAACGATAACTGTAGTTAAATAATAATAAAAGTATTTCCAGTGAATAATAAAAATCTTAAAAAGTGTAACAATTCATTTTTAACGATTCGTTAACACCCCTTATTACATCATAAATCACGTAGTTTACTCTCTTCCAGTTTAAACTGATCCAGTGAAATCATGAACGACATCTGTAGTTACACTTTATCAGTAAACTACATTAATTCATTTATCATTT